GGTGCAAGAGCATCTCCACAGGTGCAAGAGCATCTCCACAGGTGCAAGAGCATCTCCACAGGTGCAAGAGCATCTCCACTGACCTGGAACTCAACAAGTAGGCTATGCTGGTCACTGAGTTCCAAGGAGTTTGTCTTTGCCTCCCCAGCACTGGGATTACAAACACACACCACTATGCCTACCTAACTTTTTTATTATTTTTATTTATTTCTTTTTTTTTGGAGACAGAGTTTCTGTGTAGCCTTGACTGTCCTGGAACTCACTGTATAGACCAGTTTGGCATCAAACTCACAGAAGTGCCTACAGTTTTTTCAATGCAGAGTTTCTCTGTAGCTTTGGAGCCTGTCCTGGAACTAGCTCTTGTAGACCAGGCTGGCCTTGAACTCAGAGATCCACCTGTCTCTGCCTCCTGAGGCAGATTAAATCCCAGATTTACTGGGATTAAAGGCATGAGCCACCACAGTCCAACCCAATCTAACTTTTTAAGTACAGGTCTTAGGGATCAAGTCCTCAAGCCTGCAGGACAACTGCTTTGGCAACTGAGCTATTTCCCCAACCCTTCAGACTTTGTGTGAGTTCAACTATACGTGTGTGTTCTCTCTGTGTGTACACACCCGGAAACTTTCAGGAGTCTCTTGTTTCTCCCATTTTACTGTTAACCCCATGCTCTCTGGCCCCATAGCTCCTGGGCGAGTCCCCTGTCTCCCATCTCACCTGGTCACAAATACATGCTGCTGCTGTGTCCTGCCTCTCTCTCTATTTTTTTCTTTGTTTTTTCAAGACAAGATTTCCCTGTTTAACAGCCCTGGCTGTCCTGGAACTCGCTCTTGTTGAACAGGCTGGCCTATAATTTACAGTTATCTGCCTGCTTCTGCCTCCCAAGTGCTAGGATTAAAGGCACGTGCCATCACCACTCAACCCTCTTTGCAATTTTGAAAACATGTATTTATTTTTTCTGTGTGTGCGTACCAAGTGTGTGGAGGGTAGAGATCAACGTGGGTGAATCAGTTCTCTCTACCGTGTGTTTTCTGGGGCTTGGACTCAGGTTGACCCCATGCCTTTACCTGCTGAGCCATATTGCCATCCCCACACCTGGCTTTGTATGTGGGTTTCGAGGATCAGATGATCAGATCTGAAATCAGGTTAGGCTTACACGGCAAGCATTTTTTTTTCACCTACTGAGCCAGCTCTCCAGCCCCATGGACCTCTTACAAGGGCACCAGTCACATGAGGGCTCTGCCCCCATCCCATAATCATCTCCTAAAGGCTGTAGCCCCCATGCCATCACTGGGGAGCTAGGACGTGAGTTTTTAGGGGGCACAGCACCGAGACCAGAAAGGGTAGAATAAGACAGTGGTGGACTGGGCAACCGTCCTTGCTCAGCACCACGTGGCTGAACTCTGTTCACTTGGAGCATGAGTGGCCAGATGCTTTATTCAAACTCGGGCTCGCTTCCAAGCAAGACAGAAACCCTCCTTGGGGGTGGGGGGGCAGCCCTGGCTTACTGTTGAGTCACTCCCTGTCCTTCAGTTTCTTGACCTGAACTTGGGGACATGAACCCAGTGCCCTAAGTGGGAAAGAACTTTTTGAAATAACTCAGTAAGGAAGAGGCATAAACACTGAGGCAGATTACATGAGAAGAGTAATTAGTCGTGTTAAGCAGGATAAATAAGCAGGTTGAACTTGTGATATCACTTAAGCCTGTCAGAGAGTTCTTTATTTTTATTGAGCTGTACATTTTTCTCTGCTCCCCTCCTTGCCTCTTCCCTCCCCTTCAACCCTCCCCCAGGGTCCCCATTTAATAACCAGTTCTTATCTTTTTCTACTTCCCGTGTAGATTAGATCTATGTATGTCTCTCTTAGGGTCCTCGTTGTCTAGGTTCTCTGGGTTTATGATTTGTGGGATGGTTTTCTCCATTGTGTAAATATACTACATTTTCCTTATCCATTCTTTGGTCGAGGGGCGTTTAGGTTGTTTCCAGGTTGTGGCTATGACAAACAAAGCTGCTATGAACATAGTTGAGCACATGTCCTTGTGGCACGATTGAGCATCCTTTGGATATATACCCAAGAGTGGTATTACTGGGTCTTGAGGAAGGTTGCTTCCTAATTTTCTGAGAAATCGCCACACTGACATCCAAAGGGCTGTCAGAGTTCTTAACCCAATGTCTGGGATCAAGAACTGTGTGTGCTCAGGGAAGGGGTGGATTGTCTGATGACATTCACCAGAAAGCCCAGCAGAATAGGTTTATTTGTTGAGGAATTTTAGAGGGACCGGGGAGATGACTCAACACTAAGAGTGCTTGCTGCTTTTCTGGAGGTCTAGAGTTTGGTTCTTAGCATCCATCCTGGGCAGCTCACAACCACCTGTATCTTCAGCGCCAGAGGATCCTGTGCCCTTTTCTGGCCTTAAACAGCTGCAAACATGTAGCATACACATATAAGTATACTTAAAAGAATTTTATTATGAGCTGGAGAGGTGGCTCAGCAGTTAAGAGCACCAGCTGGTCTTCTAGAGGATCACAGTTCAATTCTCGGCACCCACGTGGTGGCTCGTGTTACCTTTTGTAACAATGGTCCCAGGGGCTCTAACTCTCTCTTTTGGCCTCTTCGGTCACTAGGCAGTAAGTTATACGTACAGACACACATCCAGACAAAACACCCAGACAAACACAATTTTAAAAATTTAAAAGGGGGCTGGAGAGATGGTTCAGTACTTAAAAGTACTGACTGCCTTTCTAGAGGTCCTGAGTTCAATTCCCAGCAACCACATGGTGTCTCACAGCCATCTGTAATGAGATCTGGTGCCCTCTTCTGGCATGCCAGCATACATGTAAGGAATGTTGTACACATAATAAATAAATAAATCTTTAAAAAAAAAAAAAGCACTGGCTGTTTTTCCAGAGGACCCGAGTTCAAGTCCCAGCACTTACACTGTCGGTAATTCCAGTTCCAGGGGATCTGAGATCCTCATACATGCAGGCAAAACACTAATGCACATAAAATAAAAAAAGAAATCATTAAAAAAAATTAAAAGGTGTTACGTATATCTGCACATAGAGTTCGTACTTTCCGGAGTATGGTTGTGGTGCCGTGGTGCACCTTAGGGCAGGATTTGTCTTCCTGGAGCATACGTCAGTATGAAAAATGAAAGACAGTCTCCAGAGCAGGAAGCAGACTGTCGTGCCAAAAATGTCCCTCGTCCCTACCTCACCTTTGGTCCAGGGTGGAAACCTGTAAGTCAGCCAGGCTATGCCAGAATGCCTGAGGTTTTTTTTCCCTGAATGAGAACTTAAATAAACTCTGGGGCCCTGTCTGGCGCTTGTGGAGAAACAGACGGTTCAATACACCCTGCTAAACAACAACTCAGAGAAAGCGCCTGTGTTTTCTCTTCCTGAACCGGAGTCAACTATGACTAAAGTGTCCTCAGCAGAGGGCAGCCTCGGCGGTTGGGGAACGTGATGGAGGACTTTCCTTCTTCCTCCAGGAAAGTGTTGTACTTTCTCTGTCAGCTGGCAGGATGCTTGGCTCCACACTCTGAGCAATAAGAGCCAAAGAGGCTCTCATGAGGACGGCCTCCTCTTGCCTGCTGTAACCTTTCCTAAGGTCCTGTATGCAGCTGAAGGCCTTTTGGTAAAATTCCCTGTTTTTCTTAAAATGCCAGCCTCGGGCTGGGGGTGTATCTCAGCAGTAGAGCACCCCAAGTATGTGTGAGGTCCTGAGTCTCAAACTGAAAAAGAAGCACATGGAGACCCCCACCAACCTCAGATCTAAGTGGGGTAGATGGAGGGAGGCCACTGGGAAGATGCTGATCAAACACAAAGGCTAGAAATGGACACACGCCTCTCACCCCTACGTACACCAGGATAAAGCAGGAAGATTGCCATGAGGTGGAGGCCAGCTGGGCTATGGAAATAAAAAAAGTGTGTGTGGGGGGTCCGAGGAGACAGCTTGGTCAGTACAGCACGTGCCGCACATCCACGCAAAATTCAGGAGGCAGAGACGGGAGGATCCCTAGAGTTTGCGGGCCAGTGAGCCTGGCTAAATCAGTGAGCTCCAGCTTCAGTGAGAGACCCTGACTCAGTGGTTAAGAGCACTGGCTGCTCTTCCAGAGGTCCTGAGTTCAATCCCCAGCAACCACATGGTAACCCACAGCCATCTGTAATAGGACCTGACACCCTCTTCTG